TCACCCCTTCAGAAGCTTTCTCACACCATGCCACCTAGCGTATAAATTATTTCTATATGAGCTATAACTGATTTTGGGGAATCATTTCCTTGGGGGTGAAAATGAATTTATAAACATATTTTTGTATCTGCCACCACTTCAGAAGCTTTCTTACACCATGCCACCTAGAATAAAAATTGTTTCTATAATAGAGTATTGTTTTGAGGTGCAACTGATTTTGGGGAATCGTTTCCTTGGGGGTGAAAATGAATTTTTAATCATATTTTTCTATCTGCTACCCCTTTAGAAGCTCCTCACACCATGCCACCTAGCCTATAGATTGCGTCTATAACAGAGTATTTTTTTGAGGTACAACTCATTTTTGGGGAATCATTTCCTTGGGGGTGGAAGTGAATTTATAAACATATTTTTGTATCTGCCACCACTTCAGAAGCTTTCTTACACCATGCCACCTAGAATAAAAATTGTTTCTATAATAGAGTATTGTTTTGAGGTGCAACTGATTTTGGGGAATCGTTTCCTTGGGGGTGAAAATGAATTTTTAATCATATTTTTCTATCTGCTACCCCTTTAGAAGCTCCTCACACCATGCCACCTAGCCTATAGATTGCGTCTATAACAGAGTATTTTTTTGAGGTACAACTCATTTTTGGGGAATCATTTCCTTGGGGGTGGAAGTGAATTTATAAACTTATTTTTTTAGCTCAACCCCTTCAGAAGCTTTCTCACACCATGTCACCTAGCCTATAAATTGTCTTTATAACAGTATTTTTTTGAGGTACAACTCATTTTGGGGAATCATTTCCTTGGAGGGGAAAATAAATTTATAAACATATTTTTTTATCTGTCACCCCTTCAGAAGCTTTCTCACACCATGCCACCTAGCGTATAAATTGTTTCTATATGAGCTATAACTGATTTTGGGGAATCATTTCCTTGGGGGTGAAAATGAATTTATAAACATATTTTTGTATCTGCCACCCCTTCAGAAGCTTTCTTACACCATGCCACCTAGAATAAAAATTGTTTCTATAATAGAGTTTTGAGGTGCAACTCATTTTGGGGAATCATTTCCTTGGGGGTGAAAATGAATTTATAAATATTATTTTTGTATCTGCCACCCCTTCAGAAGCTTTCTCACACCATGCCACCTAGCCTATAAATTGTCTCTTTAATAGAGTATTGTTTTCAGGTGCAACTCCTTTTTGGGGAATCATTTCCTTGAGGGTGAAAGTGAATTTATAAATATATTTTCTTTAGCTGCCACCCCTTCAGAAGCTTTCTCACACCATGTCACCTAGAATATAAATTGTCACTATAATAGAGTATTTTTTTGAGGTACAACTGATTTTGGGGAATCATTTCCTGGGGGTGGAAGTGAATTTATAAACATATTTTTTTAGCTCAACCCCTTCAGAAGCTTTCTCACACCATGCCACCTAGCCTATAAATTGTCTCTATAGCAGAGTATTTTTCTGAGGTACAACTCGTTTTTGGGGAATCATTTCCTAGGGGTGGAAGTGAATTTATAAACATATTTTTGTATCTGCCACCCCTTCAGAAGCTCGCTGACACCACGCCACCTAGCCTATAAATTGTCTGTTTGATAGAGTATTTTCTTGAGCTATAACTGATTTTGGGGAATCATTTCCTTGGGGGTGAAAATGAATTTATAAATATATTTTTTTATATATAAAATATCAAACATTATGAAGCAGCCTTTGTGTCCACAGTGTAGCGACTGAGGCGGAAGCCTAGGGCGTAGTTTTCAAACGTTCCTGTTCCGCGCTTTCTGGCCACACAACGGGCCTAATCAGCAAGCCACCTAACGCGCGGTGGCGCGGTAACAAACCAGTTTGGTCTTGTCGCTCGGCGTATGCATGAGTATTACTGTATTCTAATGGCGGATACTGAATTGTTTATAAGGGCAATTCAATCTAAACCACCTATTTGGCAAAGTAAACATCCACAGCACAGATATTTTACTTAGGATGTAGTCAAATCTTGATGCGGACATTCGAGTGTACCAAAAAAATTGGTAGACTATAATCTCAGTTCTTCATACAAATGAAAAAATTCACCAGTTGTTCCTATTTTTTATCTATTTCGTGCACACCATCTCGAGTGTTCAGTACCTCCCATCTCAGAATCGGACTGTCTAGTAAAAATACCAAATCGTCGTACATAGTTTGGAGAACTGGTAATACGTCGAACCAGTGATCGCGTGTCACTGTGGACACCGCACGCCGCCGCTCGCCGCGCCCGCCTTAGTCACCGCGCATTCAGTATGGACGCACACTGGGAAACTGCGGAAAACGACATCGCTAGTGGAAGAAGCTGTTCTCGAAGTGGTCGAAGAAGATTCAGGTATCCGCACTCGCAGATTATAACATAAACAAGGAGTTCAAAAAAACACTTTTAACAGGATTTTAAATGAACAACTCAGGAATTAACGCCTACTGACCATCACTCGCTTTTGAGATTCGTAGAAAATGTATCAGAGGGCAGAGCAGCTGATAGGTAGGGTAATAAAATTTTATTTATAGATGAGTTTTACCCGACATGGTATGATAAATTTACATACATAATTCACATGTTTACACTGAACTGAAGAAAATCCGGATGCAGTTTCAGAAAGATATTTTCAATGGAAATTTAAAATTAACGTTTGCATGGGGATTATTGGTAACTCTTTAGTTGGTCCATACAGGTTGCCGTATAAATTGAACGGAGATAGATATCTTCATTTTCTACCATACGTTTACCTGAATATTAGAACTGCCTCTGAATGTAAGAAGAGGCATGATCTTTATGCATGATGGTGCTCCACCTCACTTTACGCTTGCTGTAAGAAATCACTTGAACGAGAAATTTGATGGTAGGTGGATTGGTAGAGGTCAAGAAGCTCATATTCAATGACCACTTCGTTTTCCGGATCTCAATCCTTGCGATTTTTTATATGGGGAGCATTAAAGGAGGTTAATATAGACAACGCAAATCAACTATGGGAAGGAATCAAAATGCTGCAAATACATTGAAGAATAGTGATGTCTTTATAGAAAATTAACTATAATTTTTTGTTCCGTATTGTTATGTGCATGAAAATGGTGGTCATATTGAACATCTTTTATGAAAGATTTGCACTATTGTCTGTATTAAATAAAATTGTAATAACGTACATATGTCCTACAAATTTTGGCACAAAATATTTATCGGATTTTTTTCTTTAATGAAGAAAGTTTTTAAACACTAACTAATTATCATAAATTACAACTCAATACTTAACTAAACTATGCTATAGAATTATGTGGAGTGGCCAATTCATTCTGTTCTACCAGACGCAACTTTCTTCGAATGTCTCTCATGAGGTCCAGGACGGAATTCAGATCAATTTTTCCAGTTTTTCATAAATTTGCCGTCTTTATTGTTCTTCATCTTGGCTTCCAAGCCTCCATGATAAACCTTGCTGGACACCAAATCCTATATGGGGAGAGCCTGCGGCAAGTTATGTTGCGTTGTCGAAGCCAGTTTTGGGTATCTCGTAAGTAATGGCGTGATGCTAGGTCTCGCCAAAATATGATATTGTCATTAGCAAACTGAAACAATTTGGAAAGGCAGTTATCAATATAGCTCTGACTACTCAAAGCTTCACCCCTCACTCTTCCCACCAAAGGTTGGGATACACCCCTGTTAGAAATTGCGCTCCAGACAGAATTTTATCGGCAATTTTCGCTTATATTTGTATCTAACATTGTTAGGGCATTCCTCTACGTTTCCCGTATAAACTTCGTCGTTTCGCGCTTCAGTTCAGAATTACTCAAGGTGAAATACTTTTTGTATCTAGAATAATGATTTGTCCATTGGCAAAGTGTACCCGCGACAGCATCTTGGTATACGAAGGAGTTGCGACTGAGAGTATTTGGGGCACTTAAGTCTCTTTCGATATTTTAGACCATTTCTACTCAATTCCAACGATATCGTACTCTTAGAAGATCTGTATTGACGAGCCAGTCTCCTTGTTGGCATTTAAACCTGATTTTTTGCTCTTTCCACGAGTCTCTCTAACCCGTGTACAGTAAATGCACATGGTCTTCTACTTTTTGGGAGATTCAGACATGGTATTCCCTGTTCTCACTCTGTTATTGTTCGATAAATGGTTCTGCGTGAAATATTTTCATTCTGGAATATTCGACAGATTTCAGCTCTGGGTACCCGCCCAACCAACTTTTCTTATTTCTAATTTATACATCTTAAAGCGAAAACTTCAAAATAAATAAATGTCAACAGTAAAGTAAGTAAACAAACTTTTGTTCCCTAAGGCAACTTGATATTTTGTGTTTGTTAAAATTAAAGCCAATGATTTTTGTTCCAAAACTGCTAGGACATACGTTAAGTAATAGCATACGTGTTTATTTTCGCTAACTACACTTAAAGAAGACGCTTGGGCACTTCTAGAAGCAACTCTTTTTTTTCTCGAACTCTATCCGAGATGGCCTGTTTTTATAAGAGACAAAAAATGAAGTAAACAAAAAGATCTGCTAAATAAAAAAAAATTCAACGTCGTCGGGAAGGTTGCCAAAAAAACTACTATAATCAATGTAGCACCCCTACATTGGTTGTAGTTTCCACCTGTCTCTAAGCCTTTAGTTTTTCGTAAAAGTCAAATGTTAGAATATCTAGCAAAACACATGCGTTCCAAATTTCACTCAAATCGGACTTTCGATTCTGAAAATATCTTTAAAAATGTGTTTAAAAAAACGTTGAGACCCTCTAACGGACAATCGAAGCACTTTTGTGTAGAGGTAAATCATGTCCATTCGACTTATTTTGTGTCTGAAAATACGTGGTACTTCTATATCCACCAAATATTATGTCACCCTGTAGATGCTCACGTGTACGGTGCCGGTATAAGTAAAAGTAAATTCTTTTCAATACTCTCCCCAACTATCGAGATGTGTGCTAACCGTAAATCATGTCACTCATGACCATTTATTTTCCAGAATCATCTCCGGATTTCAACTACATTTCAGGTATATATCTTCAGCAAGCACCAGTCATTTGTCATTCTAATAAAGTAAGTAGTTTTTAAGCTCCTAATACTACATCCACCAAATATTAGGTCACACTGTAGATGCTCACGTGTACGGTGCCGGTATAAGTAAAAGTAAATTCTTTTCAATACTCTCCCCAACAATCGAGATGTGCGCTAGCCGTAAATCATGTCACACATGACCATTTATTTTCCAGAATCATCACCGGATTTCAACTACATTTCAGGTATATATCTTCAGCAAGCACCAGTCATTTGTCATTCTAATAAAGTAAGTAATTTTTTAAGCCCCTAATACAGGAAGTTTCCTGTTCCTCCGTACGAGCGACCTCGTGCTTTAAATGAGCACGTCCATCAGAGCATAGCGCTACACAAGTGACCATTGCCTCTTATGCTACGTCAATAAATGAAAATGGTATTGCAAGAGTCAGTGATTTTTCGAGTAGCGCTCACGTCGATGGTTTTGAAGTTATCAAGGTTGTTTGCTATTTAAACAATTTTTCATCTTAGGCATCTCAAAAGATACTTGTAGATCGATAGCGGACTTTCTCATCGTAAGATGTCAGTTATGGTAACAGCTTTTCCTCTTCCCATTTTTTCTAGTACACATTAATTAAAATCAGTTTTGTGGATGAGCTAACATGCATAATTTATCGAATAATCTTCTAAGTGTTATACCATTTTGGAATCCTTATTAAATGCGCCAACTTTTAAGGTTAGTTGCCAAATTCTCGTATTACATTTTTTACAGTACAGTCAGTTAAAGCTGAGCACAGTTTTAATATGGAATACTTGGTTAGAAAAAAGTGGCAATTGCCTGAGCTAGAAAAGTTGACAGTAAAGTTGAGACACCAGTTTACACTGTAAAAATAAAATCCACAAAAGTTAATATTTGTATGAACAGGTGTTAACAGGCTGCCGTAGGGTATGAAATTTCTCATTTTTTTAAATACCTATAATTTTTAAAACACATACCTAAGATTTTTTTAAATATTTTTCTGATAACTTTGCCTATAACCCGGTTTCGACTTGACGTCGACTTCTGGGACACCCTGTATATTGGATGTGTAAAAAAAAACGTAAGCTGCTTAGTACTCAAAAACTAAGTATCCAATTACAGTCTTTCAACCTTCCTCTTAACGCTTTCATTATAAGCCACTCGCTTCATCCTAACCTAATTGTGTTTGTAGATAAAAGAGCTGACATTATCGCAACAAGTACGAAACTCAAAGGGACACGTATGTGATGTCCTTGATGCTGAAGAAAATGAAAAGAAACAAGTTTCATTCAGTGAATCTGAAAATGACAAATTTACATGTAAGACAGACAACGAAGACGATGAAATGAAAGAAATGATAGACAAATCGATGCAAGACTCTCTTTTTATATGCAGTAATTATCTCTAAGTTGACAGTTTTTTTATCTTAAATTTTATTTTGAGTTTAACTACCCACTGCAAGCACCGCGGCAATATTTCTAGGGCAAAAAGTAGGTCCTATGCTAACACGAAAATTTTCTATAAACATACAAGGGTGCTGAGTGTGAAATCAAAAAAAAAGTATATTTCAGGAGTGGATAAAGGTGTCAACTTAAGATTTATATATGTCATGTGAACAGCATAAACAATACATACGATACCAGCGGCTATGTATCCTGGATATTTTGACACCAAAAAAGCATTTTTTATGGGACTTTTTTTAAACATGTAATGGATTTTCAATGATATTCTATTTTACATAAGTACCACTAGATACATTTTTGTCAAGCTATTAATTTCAGAAAAAAAATGGTTTGGAAATGAGGTAAAATGTGTTTTCTTTTCAATATTTGATGAACCAACTGCAGTTTGATATTGTATATATCATATTCGGAAAGTCTCATCACAACGTTCATTGAAAAATATGCATGTGAACGTGGGGGTAGAAACCCTATATCAGTGCCGTCAATAGTATAGAAATTTACAATTTACAATCCCCCGTATCTTGGTAATGGATCATTTTAGGACCTGTATTTATAGGAGCACAATACTTTTATTTGGGTTTATCGGTGAATGTCACACAATCAGTGTGAACCGTCAATATTTATCATGGAATGATATTTATCGACCGTCTAGCCAGGACTAATTGATGCAAAAAGTTACAGGTAACCCGTACAGACCACAGTAAATAATTATTGTGTCATTAGCCTCAGAGCGTACGATCCCTGAACCGTTCTATCAGTAGCCAGTCGCAATGCGGTATGAAAGTGACAGTTTCTTCTAGAAATCGGATAAAGCTTTCACGTTAGTTTGAGTTACTACCGCGGTTCTAATCTATCCAAAGGACGTAGTGAGTAATAAAACAAGTGACAGGGCAGCCCGACTTACACCGCACAACTACATGTAAAACCGATAATGCGTTATCACCAGTGGCATGTAGGTTTTAAAATTAATTGAGGTACCATTTAATTTATTTTCGCTGTTTCTTCTATCTTTTCATTACTTTCAAGGTACTATAAGGTTTATTACATTGATATATTAAATATGCTGCCCCAGTTTATGATTCGTTAACTTTACATATTTTTTATATTATAAAAATAATTTTAATACATGGAAAAAAATAAAGAAATGGGCTTAAAAATTAAATTCTTTTTTAGATTGGATTCGGGATCTTTTTAATATAATACCTAATAATGAATCTAGCTGCATTCATTACCACGTTTATTTCGACGGCGCTATCCGGATAGACTTTAAAGTGGATTATCCCAATCATGTGTAATCCTCACCGTTTATTTCGGCAATCCACAAGTCAAACCAAAACTGATAACGTCAAAATATTGGACAGAGGGCTCCTTCGAAATTAGCTATCAGGATTAACAGAGGATTGGGATAACCTACTTTGAAGTCCATCCAGATAGAGCCGTAGAAATAAACATGGTAATTATATAAGTACGAGTATGTTTAGGGATATAGGTCCTTCGTCATTATCCAGTAAATATACAAATTACATTTATCAACTTATCGCTATCACTATCAGTATAATCTGAAGATTCTGAATCGTTTCCTAAGTTCGTTTTCATCCTCCTTCTCAAGATGTTCGATTGCTTTTTTGCAATTTTCCGGAGTTACATTTTGTACCGCTGTGTAAGAAAGCTGCTTTGCATCTACGATCGTGAAAGTTGTGTTTTTTCTGGGAATTTCGTTTTTAATTTGCGCCCAAATTAACTCGATTGGGTTAAACTCGCAATGATAAGGAGGCAGGCGTAAAATAGTCCGATTGGTAGATATATGTTTTGTTCGTACAGCCTGTTTGCTGACAATCAGCAAACTGATAGTCGGCGACAAGTCATGACCTAGTTTGCGCAGTTAGCTGCTACTGACACGTCGCTGACTGTATTAATTGCGTTTGGTGACTGTCAAATCAGTCAGCAGATAATTTTCCAGTAAATTGTCAGAGCTCGAAATAAAGTACAATAATTATTCCAATGTAAATTTTTTTAGAATGATGTAGACAATCTTAAAAAAGTTGGGGGTTCATTTGCTGTAAACCAGAATGATCTAGGATTTTTCGTCCAACTTTCCAAATGTGCCCGAATTTTCCTATCGAGAGGAAAACATAAACACCTTATAGAAAAAATAACCGCACCCAAAAATGTCAAGTAGATTTACTCAGTAATTCAATTCTCATATATAAAGTATAAACATAAATTCGAAGACTTGTGATTCCACGCATCGAATGACAAGTTGAAGAAGTAAATACATAGTAAGAATTCTGAATAAACGTCTGCAGTGATTATGCATGATAAATGTACAAAGTATTGTGAATGACGTTTAATAAAACTCGGATAGTAGGGTTTTTGTTCCCTGTTCCTTTGTCACACAAACAGTATTTATATATTCTAGCTATGCAAGTCCAACCCAAAGCTGATCAAAAAATAAACAAAATAACGAATTCTGGAGATTTTGTGATACAGCTTTTCTCACGAAGAGGGAGTGACAGTTTGTGCTGGGGTGAAAATAATATTTTCCCTATACAAGGTATTTTAAATTCGACCCTGACCATTGAGATCTCGGACACTTCAAAGGATACGAAGTCACTTAAATAGGGGCAAAGTTGTGTATTCAGATAATCAGCAAAATGTCGCTTAGAAAGTTTTGAAATTGAAAGTACTTCCGGAAAGAGACGTAAAAAACGAAATTTTCTAAAATGCTTTTAATTTTCTCCCGACTTTATTTGTGGTTCCACATCTTCTCCTCTACAAGACGGCACAATTAGAATTTCAATATGACGTTTTGTCTCTTGTCCTCCAGCATCAACTTCATTTTTTGTTATAGACGCCATATTGGATTCTTACACATATGAATAGAATTTTTATTCTGATTTAAAAAATGTATGTCATATATTGACATTGCAAAACCTTAGTTATTCCAGAAGTTCCTAGGTAGGCCTTGAAATTATTAGATTTCATTTGTTTGCATAGCAACAGAGTTTGGAAGACTGTGAATACCTCTGCCTATTTATTATTACCATCAATAAAATTTTCATTTCGTATTCAGGTTTTACCAAATTTCTTTATTTACTTTTAATTTTCATCCAACAACAAATTTATGGTCATGTAACAATCACTGAATTTAGGGCTTAAAAAGTCCATTTAAATGTACAAAATTTCAATATAATGTCCGTATGAAAAAACAAATTTGATGATGGAAGTCGAAAGAATAAATGTCGAATTGAAAATTTGACTACGCCATCTTGCAGACGAGAATAAGTAACAATGGCAGTATGCAATTTATTTTAAAATCCCATCTCGAATTGAGTTAGGAAAAAATAGAGCGGTTTTGGGATAAATCTGGTCATCGAAACAAACATCTGATTATTTCAAGGCCTACCTAAGAAATTCTGTTTTTCTTAAAGTAATCAAGGTTTGACAACGTCAATGTATGACGTATCATGCATTTCTTGAATCAAAATTAAAAACTCTATTCATCTGTAAAAAAATGCAATATAGCTTCCTTAAGAAATAATAAAGTTGATGCTGGAGGACAAGAGACGAACTGTCATATAGAAATTCTGATTATGCCTTCTTGTAGAGAAGAAAACGTTAATGTGCAATTTATTTTAAAAACCCAATATAAATAAAGTCAGGAAATCAGAACAATTTTGGGAAAATTCAGTTTTTCCGTTACTCTACATACTTTGAATTTCGAAACCTTCTAAGTGTCACTTTGTTGACTACCCCATGTAAGCGACTTCGCATCCCTTCCAGTTTCCAAGATCTTAATGGTGCGAGCCAAATTAGAAACACCCTGTATATGCAGACTCTTACTACAAGGATTTAATATCGTCTTTGAATAATAACGGGTGTGTTATACACTAAGAAGCTAAAACAGCTGAACATAACTACAATTCTCAAGATCTGTTTACATAGCTATGAGTTTCACAGAGTTCTCAACATGGACAAAAAGAACCGAGACTACGAAGATACATAGAAGTAAAACTTAAATAGCGTAATTACGCATTTTGCAACTGTAACAAAAATTTTCTAAATATTAGTGATCACAAAAATTTTCAAAAGACTAGTGATCACAAAAATCGTATTAATTATGGTTCTTGAAAGTTATGTCCTCTATTGATCGGATTTTTCATTACCGGGACAATAAACAAAATATTGAGCGCAAAGCACTTTGGCGCTGGCTAATATTTAAAATGGAATTTCATTAAAATTTCTTCTGCCACTTGCTCACCTGACATGTTACAAAAACTTGTTTCTGTTGAATTGTGGCCCTGATTTCTCTACAAAATTAAGGTTTTTGGGTTTCATTTTTTTTACACCGAAGCAGCCGCGCAGGTGGACTCTACATGCCAAGGCTGCTTTCAGGAGCTTAAAGAAACTTTGTTATTCCCATTTTTGACTGCCTAAAGTTAGTAGAACTGGGAAAATCCCCTCATGTAGATTGTTACACGACACACCTTCTGGATACAAGGAGCGGTCTTATCGACCAGTTCTGGATGTACGAAGTTCGGCACGCTTATGATGGGAGGCCGAAGTCAGGTAGGCACATCGCGGGGCGACACCATGGAAGAGAGCTCTGAGGAGCAAAGCCCGTTGTCCCTGCTTGTTTTGATTCAAATACCAATAGTCCGTCTACCACGAAGCCATAATTAGCCGTTTTCCTTTATCTGATTTTTTAATCCTGTGGAGAGTTGTTCCAGGAAGACTTGGCGAGAATGCTCAACTGATGAATCCTCCCATACTTTGCTAACAGTGTGCCCTGCATTGAGCCAAGGCTCGTCTAGGTAGTATATCTTCCCGCCTTCTTCTCTATACTTCCAGATTTCGCGTAAGTATCTACGTCTTCAACATATTATCTCGTCCTTTTCTTTCAAGATGCTATTTCGCTTCCTTCCTACAAAACTAAAAATTACTTTGAATCTTTAAATTCGTTAATTCAATGAACCATATTATACGAATAACGAATTTCAGGTGATTTATCTTAACAAAATTGAAAATTTAGTTTAGTCATAAAGTACAGATACAGAATGATAAAAAACATAAAAAACTCTAAACTATTTTTGTGTGTGAACATTTTACGGATTTTTTTGATTTTGTATTTTACTTTCAAAGGGAAATAAAAAAAAACAAAATAAGTTGATTGTACAACACTTACCGAAAATTAAGTTCCTTCATCAATGCAGCCAACATCGATCTTTTGAAGTCTGGCAAGTCGTCGTCGTCGTTTATTGATAACAAAATTTTGTGGGTGGTTCGTTTTGGATGAAAAATTTCGTGGATTTTTCTTCGGATTAACGCCTTAGTTTCTTGTGAAACGTTGTCCAAAACTACTCTGGCTCTATGGTAACCTTTGGGAGGAGAAAGACTGTTGCTTCTTTTGTGCTCTGCCAAAATTTTATATACACTGCTACTTGATGCCCCTGAAAACAAATTAATACATTTTGCATATATTATATATACAAGCATTAATAAATAATAAAAATTGAAAATAAGTTTTAAAAATCAAAATGTGTACAATAGAAGTAGCTATCATATTAGTGGGTAAGATATTTAACAAAAATCACTATTATTTAGAATAATACATCAAACTACAAAACATTTTAAATTATACTTCAAAGCTAAATTCTCACCTGATGCTCTTGAAACAAAGGCTACACGTTCTGACCGAGTTTCATTTGGGTAGCGCTCCCGAGAAGCTACATAAATATTTATAATAGTTTCTTTTTCAGAAACCGACAAAGCTCTTTTTGTCCGTTTTCTTGGTGGTTGACCCGCGTCTAATAAGGCACTCATGTCGAAATATATATATAATATAATATATAATTATTTTTAGATTGCGACCCTGACTCGCTTGGCGGACCAAATGATTTAGACTCTGAAGATTGCGATATGGACATAGAAAAACTGTACAAATGTATGGAGAAAGAGTTGTTTTGTGACCACTGTAAAACATTCACCCACGACTATATATTTTATTTACATACATGTTTTTCAGGCCGTCAACTTCTTGAAATGATGAAAACGCATATGAAGAAATCCAAAAAAAAGAAGGGAAAGCAAATATAACCATTATAAAACACATACTGCAGTACAAGTGATACTGATTACTGATGTCTAGAGTAATTTGGTGGAAAAAGTTGCTATCATTAGGAAACTATATGGAAACCATATCAGTCCGAAGGCTGACAAATTGAATTTTTGGACAAATTCAGTAGTCATCTAGAAATTTGTAGTACGAATTTTTATAATTGGTATCTGCGTGATCTATTTGTATATTGTCATAATTATGTATATCAGTCATCAATATATTAACGTATCTATAAAATCTAGGCAGTATCTCTATTGCATTTTTATATTTACAGTGTCAGCTATCAAAATAGTAATAGTGACAAAATGTTATGTGTACAACAGGAAATAATCCTGACTTAATGGGTAGCAGTGTCAACTCATAAAGAATTCACCTAATATTACAAAAATATGAGGCTATAAATTCAATAATAGACAAGATGTGTTTGGTGCTCTTCAAAATGCTCAGCTCTACGACAACTTCAATCTTTCGTTTTATTGCATTTTTTTTTAGCCGATATGTATTATTTGTATCCATTTATCACGATTGATGCAGTTTATCCCTCTTTTAAGGGTGGTGTGTTGGAAAAAACGTATTTGAAATTCGTACTTTGAAAGAGAATTGATTACAATTCTCTATATTTCCCCCTGGAGGAATCATCCAGGGATTAATGATGGCTCCCGATATGGTTAGGTGTCGAATAGATTTAAAATTGAATGGATTAGTTCAGATGCGGCCAGATGTAACGAGCTAGCGTTGCATGAAGTATTGCTCAGCTCAGTTGCTGAACGTCCCTCGCTACCAATCTGCGCAGATCAGATAACCCGTTTCTTATTCTGAAGGTTTTCAAAGTGATCAAAGCAGTCCATACAAATAATATCAAGCAGATCATACCTCACGCAGTGCTAGTTTGTAACAGCTAGGTGCAACTGAACGTAACCATTTTCAGAGACAAAATTGTTATTTTTCTCGCATCTGACCAAACCCTAACCTCTATGGCAAAACAAAAATTTATTTGAACTGTGGAAGGGATTTTGATTAAAGCGAAGATAATACCCATACAATTTTTAGAAGCAATATTCCGTTTTTTTATTTATTGATATCAAACAAACTCACCAATGATACAATTTTATATGGATTTATTTATAAATCAAAATATACAAATGATGCGTAATAAAGTACAAATATCAGCGAACCCATTTTGAAAAGAGGTTCACGCCCCGACTCATTATGATACAGTGTTAACTTAAAATAATAGCTGACTTTACACACAAACTACACATTAAAATAAACGTAGTCATATTATCATGCATAATAATAATAAAACAACCTATAACATTTGTGTAAATACGTCTTTGCAAAACATGTTTCCTTTTTAATTTTGCAAATGAATGTCATTGATTGAATGATTTTAACGATATTTAAAAAACTGTCAAACGAAATATCTACTGAAAATTCCGTTCTATACGAAACCACGAGGCAATCTTATGGAGAATGGGTTTCGGCGGTTTGGTCAAAATCCAATGAAAAATACTTCCTTTTTTGCAAGATGCATTCTGAAAAACTACTGGTAGTTATCAATTGATGACACCTTTCAATTAATCGTAAGCAGAGCAAAGCCAGAATTGATACGAACAGGACTGTATTAACGTTTGTTTTCAAATACCAAATATAGGACTAAACAGTTGAAAACAATGCTAGAGATGATGATGAGTTACTATTATACCTGTAATACTAGAGATGAGGATACAGGAATGCTGTGTTCAAGTAGCCTCCATATGGATATGTTCATCATATGTTCGCCATGTACTCTGTAACATTCCTTTTTGAATATATGGCAAACGCGCGAATCGATAATTATATATTTCTCCTACGCTATTTTGAGATATCAGACTTTCCAGTCGTATCCACAGACTTATTAGTACACTACAAATACTCTCTTGGATCGAAAGCGATCCTAACTAAGTCACCACAAGCGACAATTTCTTTATAGAAAACGAACTACTTAACCCCACCGACACTCTCTACTACCAGAAAGACGTATTATTATACTTATTATACACCACTCTTATCTTATTTCTTCGAATTATCTCGAGACACACGCATCACCCAGTATCTGCTGTACCCATTATTTGCCTGATTCTAAAAGATAATTAACATACATAGGTTGTTTAGTAAATCGAGAAGTGCCTAATATGCGTCAACACTCAAAACAAGAGGTTGCGTAAATGATGGAAAATCCCAAATTAACCATTCAATTTTACTTCTTCATACAGGAAGATTGTAAAAGTCTAAGCCCCTCTGGCGCCCGACTGGTTCCGGCAGGGTTATTACGTAAAAAACCTATATAATGTAAAAAAACGACAAACTGTCAACTTGCTGCTTAGAAAGTTCTTAGTATTCAAGTAGTTCATTCCGCGTTTGCTCGCTATAAGCGTCACCAAAAGCGCTATGGAAGAATGACACGCCTACACGACACGCCCAATGACCATACTGCAAGCTGCAGGTCAGTTCCCCAGCATACTGTGTTGGTTACAGAATGCCGAGATAGTAGAGTATATCACGAAGAAGAAGTGCCATTCAAAATTGGTTTAGTAGCAAAATCGCATCTGGATGATTATATGCTGATTGCGTATATTGGTGTATAAATTTAGTGACATTTGCTATGTGAGAAAATTATTTATGAATATGCTGCCCGTGAAGTATATCTATTAGCTGTACCGGATTTGTGATGTTCTTTCTGAAGAGAGGTCATGTTCAAAATTATAAATTACGATTTTCTCCGGCTTTTTTGCGTTTTCAAACACTTTGAGAAACATTACGGGAAATCACCACCATGCTCGCATTGTGTGTAATTATGCCACATCACAGAAAACTTAGGAATGACGCATCACACACAAAACATTTTCACAATGTCTCACATCTAGGCGTCGATTTGTTTGCTTGATAATTGTAAAGTAGCTTCTAATAAATTGTTATTGTTTGTAGAATCGAAGACTTTATTACTTGCGGAATCTGATACCCAGCCCCCCCCCCCTTAATGCAGTAAGGTCACGTCTTCGCAAACCACTGTATCTCTTCTGTAACAGAATTAATTCTCAATTCTGAAAAGAAGTTTTTTGCTGTTATTTAGACATATCTAGGCGGCAAAAAACGTCTGTTCAAAGTTCCAAATGGTAACTAGAATGACTTGTAAAAAACGCTTAAAACTACAGCTGCTCGTGACGGCTTCCCAGGTCATTCTTCCTCTTTTTCTGTTGAATTAGCTATTGCCCGCTCGTATAGCAAACTTTGTATTCCAAAGATACACAGGAAAGCACAATCCAAAAATACCTTGGTGTTGAGAGTCTATAATCTGTTCCTCGTTCCTCTTAATTTCTCATATAAGTCTTGCTTGATATTGTATCACCACTTTTACTTATACAAAACAGCTACAAAACCGTGACATTTCTATTTTTCAGAACAACAGTTTTCCGGTATTTTTTGAACACTTCTGATTCTGTACCAACTCTTTACAATTACCAATAATGTTCTTGACATTTTAATCAGTGATACCGCTATGTATTTTTAATATGGATCGCTTTTTTATATTTGAGCTGAAATAGAGATATGAGTACAAAGTTGAATAGTCTCCTGCTCATCACGTAGGAAATATGTATCGTCTTTGCGTGCTATTACTAGGCCAGGGAATAGGATGGTTGGAAACACAAAGTATGGCAGAAACGTGTTTATTGATATCGCTAGAATATAGCTTGTAATAATTTCAAATTGACATAGCTAAACGGCCGAAGCTTTATATGTCATTTTGATTAACTAGATATATAAAAATTTTAATGTAGAGAAACAAATGATCTATCTTGTATTATAGCTTTTTTTGTACAGAATAAAATTTTTTACACAAAAGGTCTATGGAATGTTGTAAAAGTTGATGGTTTTTGAAGGACAAGGGGTTAAAGCTTGATAATAAAACAGAGTATTTGACAAAAAAGCGAATATTTTGTAAAAAATTCTATCTCTAGAAAAAATGAGAGTAAAGTAGCCTTTATACATTTGGGTGGTTTATTTAGCTAATATCTATACCTATAAGCGAAAATCTCATTACATGTAACTCCATCGTTTAAATTCTCGTAAATTGTTGATACGGTGTGGTAAATAAAATGATCGATACTTTAAATCGCTGATGTCTCGACCTATAGTTGCGCCATTTTCAGCTATAAAGTGGTGTTCTAACGATACCATAATAAAAAATTCCTCACAGCTTTTGCAACAAAAAAGTATCTATTCACTGAGACATACAGGAATAGCTGTTGAAAACTCACTGTTTTATGTTATGCAAACAGCTAACCTTTCGAGGGAGAATTTAAGGATATATATGAGTTTAAAGTACGAGAATATAGAATATCATCGTAAGAGTAAATAAATGATGCCACAAAATGAAAGTGCACAATTTCAACCTGATTTGTGTATTGTGGTTTTGAGATTCTATTTTTTATAATATCAATGTATAATCGTATATGGTGTCCGGTTGTGAGTTGCCTGATAGTCGTGTTTCATACTCAGAAATTAATTTAAATGAGTTTCACTTGTCAGTTTATTCAGGAGAAAGTATTGATGGAGATAACGTAGGCATTCTAATAAACTCTTTCAATACGTGATTATAGTGATTATACATAGGTATGTTTTATATTTTCCATATAACCTCTTACAGGAAATGGCTCTCAAAGCAATATTTTGTGTGTTGATTTTATTGTGCTGTTTAGGATATCAATAACACATCTTATTAAACAGGATTTTCATTAAATTGCAATTAATCACCGATAATAATTTGTCAATTTGTTAACCTTGACTTTACAAAATATTTTGTGACACACTGGAACGCTCTCATATTGGCTTTTGTTCTAAGGCATAACAAATACCGCAAAGCTGAGTGTTGTCAGGGAGGCACTGCATATGAAAACTGTGTTTACAGTTAAACACCATAATGCCAGTTGCTCTCGAAGGATCTGAAAAAAGAAGTTAGTCATCACTGATGCATCTCCCTTACCTTGAAACTTGACATATATGATTGAAACCTTAAATGTTGACGTTTTGACAGGCACGAATACCATTTCCAATTCTAGCTTACCATTGGTTTCATTTTCTTAAATCACAAGTCAATCAATTGCTTCTGATGAATCAAAGTACTACTTCTTGCATTTCGAATTCATGAATATTTTGCGCTAGTAGAAGAATATTACTTAATAGCCTAAATTAGTGGGCATAAAAAATAAACGCTGTCATATGTAATTAAATAAATATGTACAGGGTGGCCAACTAAGAATGCGAGTTACTGTATCTGTACCTATCCATCGTAGAGGCTTGCGGTGAAAACAATTATTAGTAAAACGGCCAAGAGAAAAACCTGGAATATATTTTCAAGTTTCTAAAATGGTCGCTAGGGGTGTAACTGCAATCTTGAGTCTATAAAAGTGATGTTTCTGTGAATTCCGCTATATTAACCTAACAAAAAATCCCTGATCTTTGAATTCGATGATAATCTGAACCTCTTTTGTTTGACAATTTTTGCTGTATCTCTAAAAATAAAGTGGTGAGTGTATTTAAAGGTTTCCGTAAAAAACACTATCTTCGACGGCTGAGCCGATTTCAACAAACATGGGCTAGTCGGAAAGAGCTATAGTTTTGCTAATTTCAGATGTGGCTGCTAGAGGGCTTTTTTCTACATTCCGACAGAAAAAAAGTAGCTAAATGATGTCTAAGCAAGCTCGCGAAAACCGCATCTCGATATCTTGCTCTTAATCTAAAATTTAGGCCAATGAAAATTTTATACGGAAATCCCTTAAATTTTTATTTTTATAAACTAATTTGTCTGGAATTTCTTTTTATAATTAAGTTGTGACCCTAAAAAGGACCGACTTAAAAAATAAAGGTTGGGTAGACAAAACTGCGGCTTCAATTTCGGCTCTCGGTATGTTACGCCGGGAATACACTTGAGCCGAGGCAAGCCGCGTACCGAACGAGGCAGCATCGGCGCGCCGTGATGTGATTTGCCGCGAAACGAAATGCGATACACCGAAACTACGTGTTGCTGCGAGCCGCGACATGCTGACAGCTGATCTGTACAGGAGCACATGCTCAGTGATTACTTATTTATTGGAGGACCGGTTCATTTTGATTTCCTTTTCTTTTTGTTTTATTACTTCGTTTACTTGTAGAAGATTAGATATAACTACGTAGGTTTGATTAATTTCATTGAATTTTCACGCGAGGACTGAGGGAATTGAAATAAAAATCAAATTGATAATTTATCTTTCAGATCGGACTGGAGCAATGAAAAATGTCTAGATTTAAGTACAGAAGTTAGTGCAACAATTTGTAAATAACGAAAAATAGACTCTATATTCGCCCTGAAAATTCCGTACACACTGCGCACGAACGAGGCACGGCTCGGCCGGTGCTCACTTTGATAGACCGACAGCCGATGGCTCGGGTCACGCACCGCATGAGACAAACCGAGCCTATTCGCAGCTATGTTGGCGCGCCGTACACACTAGCGCATGTTACATGCACACGTCTTCCCTCGCCAGAGTCCGTGTGGCGTTCCCCCTTTCCCCTGTATCCCCATATAGCCCCACGGTACCCAATGGGTGTTTAGGCCTTAGGCCTTCGTGATAGTTGGAGTATAAAAAAAAATTATGGTTATTTATAACTTGTGGCACTAACTTCTGAACTTGAACACCAAACGAGGCAGCCTCGGCGTGGCGCGATGCGATAGTGTGTACGGCGCACCAACACAGCTGCGAACACGTTCAGTTTACATCATGCCGTGCGCGACTTGAGCTGTCGGCTGCCGGTCTATCAAAGTGAGCACCGGCCGAGACCTGCCACGTTCGTGCGCAGTGTGTACGGAATTTTCCAGCAGCATTTGCCTCAGAGTGAATATAGAGCCGCGCCAGTAGGCTATTTTTGGTTATTTACAAATTGTGTTAACAATTTCATTTTTCATTGCTCCACTCCGATGAGATAAATTATTAAATCATCTATTATTTCAATTCCCTCAGTCATCGCGTGCAAATTCAATGACATCAATCAAGCTTACGTAGTTTTCGTCGACATCTTCCGATCTTCTACAAGCAAATGAAGTAAAACAAAAAGAAAATCAAAATGAGCCGCTCCACTAAATAAGTAATCACTGATCAAGTGCTTCTGTACGGATCAGCTGTGAGTATCCCGCAGCTCGCGTCAACATGTTGTATCTGTGAATCGCATTTCGTTTACGGCAAATCACATCGCGGCGCGCCGAGGTTGCCTGGTTCGATGCGCGGCCTGCTTCGGAACAAGTGTATTCCCGGCGTTACGTATTGCATTACGAATTCGGTTTTTCATATCTTCTCTGGTTGTAGGTTGAGTCTGAAACACGATGTCCTCTAACCGTCCCCATAAATAAAAGTCAATACAAGTTGCGTCTGGTAATCGCGAAGGCCATGGAAACAAAACAGACTTCCTCTTCCACTTCACCGCACTTCATAATTATGCTCTCGCACAATAATAGCAAAATGTGCTGAGCAAACATCCAAGTGCAAAAACAATTTTCCAGTGGCACATCTTCCAACAACAACTGTACTTGATTGTCCAAAAAGTCAAGAAAGACATTGCCATTTAAAGATTGCTCGAAAAAATATGGCCCAATAATTCCGCCTCCCAGTATACCACCCCACAGATTTAAACTCCAACGCCCTTGGTGCTGAACTTCGCGCAACCGATGCTAATTTTCTGCAAACCAATAATGCATATTGTGCAGACGAACTCTCCCGTCGCTATTAAAGGATGCTTCATCGGTCCAAAGAATTTGAAATAAAAACTTTATTTTCCCGTATCATGCCTAACATCCAATGGCAATAGTCCTTTTTCCAGAACCGATGCAAAACGACATGCATTCTAAAGATAACTGAAAAAAGTTAAATCTAAATAAATCCCTATACATATTTTAATGGCCATTAGAACTTACCTATTGTCCTTAAAAATATTTTGAACCGTGGTTTGCGATATGCCCAACTCAAGGCATAATGCCCTGGTGCTAAAATGTGGATTTCCTTCAATATACCCCAGTACTCGGTTAACATTTTCTTGTATTCTAATGAATACAAGATCATAGGCTGAAAACTACCATTGGCTCGCCACTAATCGGGGAAAGACGTCGATTTCATCGTACGTAAAATGCATTTGGTAAGCACAAAAATTACTCAAAATAACGCGAAACTACAGTTTAGATAACAATCAGCTATGACACTCCTGTCAGAGTGTCAAAAACATTCAATCCCCTTCTTCTATTCGTCACTGTCCGTCAGAGCGGTCCGTGGGACCTTCGCTCTTTGTTAAAGTATCAGGTCAGTAGGTCTGTCAGGTCTGGTTGCCCAGCTTCAGCGCCTTATTAGTGATTTGATCCTCGCCAGGCGCATTACGCACCTTGAGGTCTTTAATATGACCTTGAAGCTCTGCTGGTGTGCAATGCGGGATCTTGGGAGAAGAGGCTGATGTGCTGTGCAACTCTTCAGCTGCAAATATCTCCTGACGGATTTGTTGCTCCTCGTCGAGATCATTATCAAGATCATAGTTGGTAGAGAACTCGTTCCATAGCATCAGCGAAAACTTCGACCTTGTCCTCTGTCCTGAAGACTATGCCCCCAGGACCGTGGATGTGCGGGAGTTGTTCTCGCTTTCCGTTTCTGAGCGACTTCGCCACTTTCCAGAGAGGAGTACTCGAGTCAAGCATGCCCGCCAGAAACTCGTTCCATTGCTCATTGTGGAATTCATGAAGAGCATTTCTTACTTCATGAACAAGATTCGTCGCCCTGCGAATGTCATCAGGATGACAAGACCTTTTCGCTTACTTAATTGCAGCCCTTTTCACAGAAATTTTCTGACGTCTGCAGGGAGAAAAAGTCTGCCGTGTTGTTGTACAGGAAGTACAGCTGCACGTTGCAGAGCTTGCTGAACGAAGCTTGTCCACTTCGCTTAAGCCCCATTTATACCGTTCTGATCATCTATGATATTGGGGAAACTCTCTAAGAAACAACTTGTATAGTTCCCAATCAACCCGTTTCCTTCGAGAAAATCCCTCTTCCAAGGTTTGCTCATTACCCACTTCCAGCACGACAAGAAGATGATCGCTAGAAATGTCATACATGATTCGAGAAGTGATACTGTATCTACAGTTTCTAGATATCTAGATAGTCGATGACATCTGGTGCCTGAAGATGATTAAATGAGTGGTGCGTGGGCTCTTCAGTACTGTGTATGAGGTAGCCGTTTCGTAGCATATGGTTGTACAGTCGAATCTCACTGGTGAAATTCAACCTAGAATGCCATGCTCGGTGTTTGCAGTTGAAGTTCCCTGCTACTATAAGCGGACCAAAGTATTCCATAAAGACTTCCAGGTTCGCCTCCTGCAGCCTGGCGCCACACCTGACATACACCGATGTGATCTTCAACGGGACACCTCCGGTCATATTGATCTCCAGGGAAGCCGCCTCAATGCTCTGCATGTCGGCATTTGTGCTTCTATGGTAGTCAATACCACGTTTCACTAGAACTGCCAAGTCGCCACCCCGTCCAGTTAATATATCAGCTCGGATAACATCATAATTCGGGAAAGCTAGACGATCTCCCGGATTAAGCAATGTTTTCTGTAACAGAGCCACATCTATACTCTCATCCAAAAGTACTTGATGAAATTCCCGTTTTTTGGGAATATCCCTAAGACCCAAACAATTCCAGAAAAGAATTTTGATGAATGCAGGCTGTGTACTATAGTACCTAGCCATTTATCGGAAACATTGCCTGCATGGCCTGTGTAGCGCTTATCAGGGGGCTAATTATCCGCTGCAAGGACCTGAACGCTGTTGCCAGGTCCACGTTTTGAGCAGTCGAAGGTGAGCTCGGGGCAGCAGGGGCAGCTAGAATTTCAACCTTTGCTGTGTTTGAGGGTAGGTGTGTCATGTGGTCTTGAGCACATTTGAGACACTTCGGAGGTGCAGTGCAATACGATTGCGCGTGTCCATACTTTTGACAGCGGTGACACTGCCCAATGAGTCGAGAGTTCTTTTGAACCTCGACTCTGATAGAGAGCCCCAGCAGTTCATATTCGTTGAACACTTGCTATGACTTCTCTGTCTTAGGCATGGGCACGCCGCCGTTGCGCTTCAAGCGAATTACGTGGAGGGGAGTATATCCCTTCTGTTCAAGCTC